GATTATTTTCTTCAATACGACGTTCATTTTTTTGTATAACACATGAAATTTTACGTAAACAACCTAACATGATTGTACGAGTTTCATCACATAATATTGAATAAGCCGGTCGTGGACCATTCGGTGATGATGGAGGTGAAATACGTTGTTTATTAGGAGAATAAGATGAAGACTGTGAAAACATTGCAACTTGTTCCGCTAGAAAGAGAAACGACTTAGAGAAATGTTTTAATAATGATAATTATTACCTTTAAGAAGTAATGAAGAGAAATTTTTCGATGAAAATACATTAGCTAATTTTGTGATAAGTTGTGCAATAAGTCCATTTGTTAAATCTGTTTTTTGTAAACGATCAACAGCAAATTGAAAAAGACGACCATAAAAAGGAAGATTATGTTCAACAAAATTTATTGTTTCAGTATTTATAATTGATTGATCTTGTGATGATACATCTTGATCATTTGTTGTTGTATCAAGTAGACTTGTTGCTTTATGATCATTCGATATTGTTTGAGGACTAAATCGCCATGGACGTATATATGTATACCAAACAAATAGAAGTGTATTATAACGTTGATCAAGTGGACATCGAACAATACCAATTTGAAGAAGAGTATAAAGTGGTTGACGAACATATGTATCAATACATGTCCTACAAAACAATAAAAAAATATATGAATAAAATCTCGAATTAAACAATACCTTTTAAGTGTTTGTAATGGTACAAGAAGATTACGTTGTTCAAGTAATGTCATGCCTGTATTAGCAAGAGAAGTATTATTACCACCAATACCAATTTGATATGAACAAAATAAATGAAGTCGTTTAATAAACATACGAATACAAAGTAAATGAACATCTGGTAAATTAAATTCCTAGAATTTAAAATTACATTTATACATATAGAAGAAAAAAAATTATTTTACTTGAACAAGAATTGAACCACTATTAGTACCAAATACTGATTTTGATGGTTGAAATACATCAATTAAAAAGGCGACATAACACTAATAGAAAAGATTAAATTAAATTTTTTTTGTTTTTTGTCTTTTTTACTTTAATAAAATAATCAATTTTCTTCATTAATTCATTTGTATCAGCTGTTGTTGTTGATAAAACTACAGGAGGAGATGATGGAAGTAAGGATGATGTTGGTGATGTACTCATATTCATATTCGTTCCTTCTCCCTCTCCACGTTGTTTTAAACTACTTCCAAATAAATATGATTGTCGAATTGGACTTTTTCTTAATTAATAAATAAATTACTAAAGAAAAACAAATCTATTAAATTTATTCTTACTTTGGTATTGTTTCAACAGATACAGGTGGTGATAAACGTGGATCAACTATATGTGATGTTGTAAGAGTATTTGAATTTGTATTATTATTATTTGTTGGCATAAGAAGTAAACGAAATTCATCAGCATCAACTATATAAAAAAACAATATAAGAAAAATATTTAAAATAATGAATTTAATAAAGACTTACTCGGTAGAAAAAGACATAGATACATTTCAAGAATATTCAAATAGACTGAATCACTACGCATTGGTCGTTCCTATTAATTATATAAAATTATTATTATTTTTTTTCCTTTTTTTTCAAAATAATTTACTGTTGAATGCTGATCAGAAACAACATATGAAAGTAGATGAAAGAGAAAATATTCAATTGGATCAAGTGCTAATGATGTTAAATGTTGTCCAGTTGTTGTTGTTCGTCCACGAACAATATCCGGTAAACATAATGATGCAAGTTTAGCACGTAAATGTATTGGTAAATCACTTATACTAAATTGAAATGTAAATTGTGGTGTATGATCTTGTAAACGAACTATTGCTTTCCATAATTCACCATGCCATGGTGATAAAAATTCTTGAACTATTGAAAATAAATTTGGACGATCATTACCTATATCACGTAATGACCAATCAAAACGACCAAAACCAAATATACGACGAATTACATAAGGTAATTCACCATGAAGTTCCTGTACAGTCATACGAGGAAATTGACTACTTAATTGAATACATGCATCTATCGGACCCAAATCAAGAATTGAAACAAGAGAAGGACGTGTAAACATGTTAAATCTAAAACTTTGGTATAAAAACGAAAAAGATTTCTTCAAATGAACAAAATATATAAACTACTACAGTGAATGAATGAAAGAAGAATTTAGTTTATTTTAATCAACTCGATATGTCCAATTCAATGTATGCATCAAAGATGGCAGTAATATGCAATCAATCTTATATTTATTACTATTATACATGAACATGAAAAATATACAAAATATTCAAATAATTAAATAATACTTGTTTACTCCAATCAAGCTAGATTATCACAGAATAGAATTATTTGCACAAATCATTGATTTCTATTGTAACCTTACATCAGATTTTAAACTCTATAGGTAATAAGTGTAATTCTTTTATTGTTCTATATTGTAAAGTAAGCCACAAACGATCACATATAAAACAGATACCAACAAGATATGGATATGCTATTTCATCTGATTTAATTCATTCAGCAACATATAAAACAATTGATGATGTAACGCTAACACCAAGATTTTCAAGTATACTTAATAATGTAGTATGTGTTCCACCAATACGTGGATCACTTATTCGTACATAAAATCCGACACGAGGTACAAGCATTAGATAAATTAAAGATTTATTTAATATAAAAAGTCAAATAAGTATCGGATAGAAAAACCATTTAGATAATATGTACTGTGTATAAGATATATAGTATATAGCATCAATTATTGGTGTCCATACAAGTTTTAAACTAAATGGATAAAAAGTAAAGTTAAATGTTCCTCTTGTTCTTTCCATTTAGCATCATGTGAACTCAAATAAAAAGGAATAATTCATATTAAACCAATAATAACTCCTTACAAAAGATGAAGAATAAATAGAAATATAATAATTCTGTTTTCATTATTTTTATCTTACGCCTTTTTCTGATTATTCAAAGTACTATAATATTATCATGGATGAATAAGCGTATATTACGCCATATAAAAAATGTAAATACTATATATAGATCATAATCTAAAGATAATTATCGTATCAGTAAACAAAATATTGTAAATTGATCTACGCAGTTATTTAATTGATCAATAGCAAAAGCTGAATGATTTATATGCAAGTATAATCAATTGACTTTTGAGCTTAGATTATGATTTTGACCTTCTATTCTATCTGTTCATTATGTAATATATATATTGTGTCGTCGTATATTATCGAAGCGATTTATCAGCGGACAGTTGTCGCTAAAATACGAATATTGAGTGAAATTTTTTAGAAGTTAGAAATAATGAAAGTTTTAATGATTATAATAGATACGTCATGAAAATATGAATAATAGCAAATAAAGTTCATACATATATATAAAATCATTCTAACTCGTTGCTATGCTTTACCTGCTTGACAAAATTCTGGAGTTGTAGCTGTCCGACTTCTTCTGACGTTTTATTGACTTACTTTTGTACTTATTTGTATTTAAATTTAAATATTATTAATGGATTAATACTTTATATATAATGATAGTGTTCATGCATCTAGAGCATGTAATTATCAGGGTGGGAATATTTTTGATCACCACGAAAAGGATACTTTTGATCACCAGTTTTTTCAAAATTCATTTAATATATTTATATCTATTTATCGTGGGTGTGGCTATTATAACCATTACACTCACATCCACACCCTCAAATGAATATCTGTCACTGTTTCGTACAATTTAGTAGATGATACACGATGACGAAATGTAAGCGATGCAGAACGAACAAAGAAAAGATGATGCAATATCACACGGTTATAAAAGGTCTGGTGATCAAAAATACTTTTCTCCCTAATTACTACTATTGAGAACAATGAGATAATCAATAAATTATTTTAGATGTTTCTTCGGCCTGGTTTAAAATCAAGCGCTCTATTACGCTTTAAATCTTTTTATCCTTTACGTTCAAAACATGTTATTGGCATTCGTCGTGAAGATCAATCCCCATGGGA